ACTCGAAAGTAGACAAAACTACATGACAGAAAAACAAAACGAACTAAAAGAAAAACTAAAACAATTCAACAAATGTAGAAAAACATGGAGTAAAATCGATTCTGTTTTCAAAACATTAAGTACAGTTTTAACAATAGGGATAACGGTGGCAACAGCCGTAACCGGTGGATTAATGCTTCCGATCATCGTCCCAACTGTATTAGCCGCATTCACTGCCGTTCAAACTTCATCTTGTGGTTTGATTACTTTAGGTTTTACATCAAAACAGAAAGCTCATTATAAAAGGATACATACATAAATACATATCTTAATAAATTATTCATTTTTTTCGAAAGATCGAGAGAGGATAAGAACATAACCATTGAAGAATTAGAAGAATTCAATGAAATTTTAGATAAATTTGATGTAGAAATATCATCAATAAAAGTTAAAATTCCTAGTTAAAAATAGTTGTTTTAAAAATATGAATAAATTTATATCAAGTGATCTTTTTTCCAATGTTATTGAGCATATCGCTGACGAATTTTTATCATTTAACGGAGAAATTGAATTAGATGGAAAGATAACTCAAGATGGAAAATACATACAAGACATAAAATTTGTAGGTTTTGATCCCATAACTTTTGTCGAATTCTTCATGTCGCTGGATGGTAAATCGGATATTTCTTATTGGTATTTCACAGGAAAAATGATTTTCCATAAAAAGGCTAGTGGTGATCAAAGCTCATTATAATTTTTTTTTTTTTCGAGACAAGAAAAATTCCTAGTTAAAAATAGTTGCTTTAAAAATATGAATAAAATTGAAATTGTAGACGATAAAAAATTCATACCAGTGAAAATTTTAGACGATATTATTGACAAGATTATCTCTGATGAATTAAAAAATATGAAAAAAATTGATAAATTCATATCAAATGAATGTTATTCACCTTATCTCTGATGAATTTATAACATTTAAAGGGCAAATTGAAATAGTTGGAGAGATAACTCAAGATGGAAAATACAAACAAGACATGAAATTTGTAGGTTTTAATACCAAAACTTTTGTCAATTTCTTTGCTGCAGTGGATGAAAAATCGGATGCCTCTGATTGGTATTTCACAGGAAAAATGATTTTCCATAAAAACAATTTCAAAGAAATAAAAAGATCAAAAAAGGGTAGTGGTGTTAGCCTACTCAAAAAGATAAAAGAATATATCGGTATAAATTGTTGATGGATGCTGCTTTGTTAAGTGCGTTAATCGTGTTTTAAACGAAGACTACACGAGAGAATTTCTAGATTTCATCAACAGTTTTCAAAAATAAAACAGAAAAGGAGTTATGACAACTGCTAGAATCTGCGAATTCAATAAGAAATTTAATACTAATTTTCAAATTTATATGCCCAAACATAGACATTTTCAACCAAAGAAAGTAACCGAAGAATTAGATTGGGTTTTTTATTTACACAAAGAACATTTCTGTTTGATAAGAAGAAATAACAAAGCTTTGGGCATTAAAGAAATAGAAGATAATTACGATGAAAACGTATGGAGAACTTGTGAAGATGATAATGCGGTAACGCAAGTTTCACTTCTAAAACTAAACGTTTTTCCAACCATTCACGATGATTGTTTATACGCATGGGATTGCGAAACCTACAACGAAAATAAAGCCATACCTTATTCCTGCACTTTAGTTAATTTAGAAAAACTAAGGAAAATGTTAAACAGAATAAATAATCTCTTTCCAGATTTAAAGCCGACAGATACCATTCCAGAAGAATTTTACAACAAACTCATGACTAATATAGTAGAAATATTTGTAAGTACAGATTGCATCGTTCAAATGTTACAACGTTTAGGAAAAATAGATCAGAAAAGAATAACATTAATTGCTCATAACGCTAGCGGTTTTGATAACTGGATCATGATCAAAAACGTAAAAAAACTAACACAATGTCCTTTAAAAACAGCTAGAGGAATTCTGTCTCTACCTTTAACTAATTCATTCACTGATGAATATTTACAGAAAAAATGGAAAAGACAGAAAGAAATAAAGTGTAACTCTAATTATTTGCAAAATATTAATTTCACATGTTCCTATCAACACGAATCATCTAGTTTGGCAGCATGGGGAAATTCATCTAATCTACCAATGAATTTGAGAAAGATCGAGGATGTTAATATTGCAAAATACACTAAAGATAATTGGGATCTTTAAGACCCGAATTGGACCTTACGCTAAAAGAGATACGTTATGTCTCGGAGCTTGTTTGATAAAATACAATC